CCTAACGACGGGTCCCTGTACACATGAAATCAAACGAGTAGGTGGCTGCATCGGCTTCAATAAAATAGTAATAAAACGTTGTTACCATTAAATGTCACGGTTAATGTACACTTTTGCTTTATACGTTTTATTCGATATAGGTATAGACCTACCTGAAGTGAAGGAGAAGCAAGCCTAGATACTAAAAAAGTTTGCAAATATCTGTAAGTTTTATTTGCAATTAAAACTGTAGCACAAGTAGTTCACACAGATAGTCATGTTTATCATACTCATCTAAAAAGAAATAATCATTATCATGTCATGAACACAATCAGCATATTAACACCTAACCACCATTTATAGCAGCATCATGATTATGATCTTTATACAATCATTGTCATCCTATCATTGTCATTATAACATAATAATCATCAGCCCATTCTAATTATATTCCATGAAGTCATCCCGGCTTTATCTGCCAACTCATCGCATCTTGCTTCATTCTAAAAAGCATTAAAAAGCCTAAACTGAGACAGTACTATAGTGTGGATTTGCTTGGGGATAGGAACATTATCTCTCAGCAACAACTAGCAGTTTAATTTAAATGTATACAGTACATACAAGGTGCCTAATTATTATTAAGTAATTAATTATTAAATATTGAATTATTGTCAAGTTATATCGGACACTATAGAAACAAAATCTTTAAGAATATTATCCATTATTTTATTCAGAAAAAATGTTTATGTACTTTTTTTTACTTTCATTTTTTTTTTCAGGATTGGAACACAGTTCAACGAAAAAAAAAGATATGAAAAAGTTTGATTAATTCGAGAAGCATTAGTTAGATTTGATTGACATTTCCTTTATGTGCACTTACCGGCATATACCCGAAGAATTTCTGACAATTTAAGGCTACGCCTAATCATTTGACGTAATACATCACGCGTGTCATAATATTAGAGGCAAAATTGATAAACAGCAAAACAGTGTGATATTTGAAATTTATGAAGCTATAGTTGTACATGCACTCAATTTATGGAATTTATGATCCATTAAATCAATATCAAAGAAATGTGTTGCGTGTATTGTATTTTATTAATTCCATTAATACAATGTGAAGTATGAACACAGCCTTCTTATACTTTTAAGATATATTTTTAGCTACTCCCGAATACGCCTACTTTGCTCCCGTCAGGGGCATCGGCGACCTTGGCACCACCCTTGTCCTGGAGAACTGCAGTGACCCAGATAGCGGAGGGCAGGGAGGTGTTTTCCCAAATGTACGGTCTATACCACGTAAGAAAATTTATGATTATGGCACCCCTAAATGGCACTCTTAGACTTTAATTTGAATTTCCATTTCTTTCAATTTTTGAAAAGTTTGGTTGGTGTGGGGTCCCCTTGATTCCGCCTAAAATTAGTGAATTTTTGTAACATTTAATTTTATTTTGCTGCACATTGTGAAATACATTGGCAACGACTTCCGTGAGAAAATTGATAATAAAACCGTGGAAACATGCTCATGTTATGAATTTGTTGGGTATGGGTTGAATTTCGGGAGATCCTTGATTGTTTGCGGAAGCGCGGAGGCCGTTCCGGTTTCCGAGAAAGCCCCTCGAGTTCCGGGAGACTTGAGACCCCTGTATTTTTAAAAAGCTACAATTCCTCAAAATGCTTACATGAATACTGTTGGAAATTGTTGCCTGTACCACTGATTCCCCTCGAATCCGCTACTATGTACAACGAAGGCGGCTCTAATTGGAAACTGCTCTGATTGGTCGAGGAGATTTGTGGATGGATCTGGAATGTGCGAGGGCAAGTCTTGATTTTTTTCTATCTCTGGAAAATGTGGACCTTTGGTAATTTGGGAGATTACAAAGTGCCCGATTAAGATTCAGGGACTAAAATGTCTCCCCCCCCCCCCCAAAAAAAAAAAAAAAAAAAAAAAATCAACGGCTCTGAATAAATATGTAAATCATTTCGATTGAAATGGATCATTTTGGCCATTTTGGAATTATTTATTTAGTCTAATAATTGTTGCTTTGCATGCATCGCACTGGAATTGCCGAAAAGCCTGACCCTACCCAGTTGCACGTCGTCGAACTAAAGTATTAATTTTCTGTTCCAGTCAAAGTATTGTGAACCGATCCCTGATAGTGTGGTCTAAAATTACAATTTTTCTAGAGTTTGAGGTTGATTATATTTTATAACAGAATATATATAGTAAGGGTAAAATAACATGGACCAGAAATAACCTTCCAAGTACAATAGCTCACATTTGTTCTTCAAAAATCAGGTTCAATTGTATCTCTGAAATGATTGTTGATAAAGAAAGAAAATTTGAATTGGGAGGTGACCATAAAATGCTAACTAAATACAACATATCAGAAATGCAATTGACCAATACTGTAAAAAATATGTTCAGATTATTATGTTTGGTGAAGACTTCGTGAGATATAAAGCTCAATTAGAGAACGACTTCAGGGATTGGGATGCAAATATTCAAAAGAATTCTGATGATTTGTGGAAAAATCATGGGAAAACATCGTAATATTAAATCTGCTAGGTATTGGTCAAAAAATTATTGGTGGAAAGTATAAACCATGGTTTGACAAATAAGTTGCAAGTGCAATTGATAATCGTAAAAAAAGCAGCACAAATTCATAGGAAATGTATTAAGAGAACAAAATGAGGCCACTTGTGAATTTTTGTGGCAGAAGTACCAACAAAAGCGTTTAGTTGCTAAGAATTGATATCAACTCGTCTTAACTTCTTCAATTCCGAATATCATTAAGCAACATCATTTTTTCCTTCCTCTTTGTCTTTTCCCTTCTACTTTAACTTCAAATTATTATTATCATCATCATCACCATCGTCATCATCATCATCATCATTACTACTACTACTAATACTACTACCAAAGCAGTAGACTATTTGTATCTTATGATATCATCACCCTTCACACTTCATTAAACATGATTCTAGTATTTGACTGTAACCTTCAACAACAAAACAACTGTATATTTATGTAGAGCGATTGTAGGTACTGTACGTCTCTAGTAAGCCTATACAGTTCATTGATATAAATTATTGGTACAGCATAATTGTATTTTGATACGTCATCTTTTATTCATTGTGGGGAGCTGAGGTGTTGTAAGTCAGTGCACTCGATCCTTCCTTCTACTTGGAGGTGTCTGGCAGTTTATTCAGTCATTCAATCTCTGGATATTTTTCAAGTTACTTTGAGTATAGAATAGACCTAATTAAGATGAACGCATCATTCGGCGCCAATCAGTTTCATCATTACGGTAAGTAAATTCAATTCAGAAAACAACTAACGTTATTATATATTTATTGTTAGTGGTCCACTTATTATTGTATAACTTATGCGACAATAAGCTATGGTGCCTATGCCTTTCGGTTTCGCTAAAATCATGTTCAAGTATCATGACCAATTACAGTAGTAGTATAAGTACAGTGTTGGTGATGATATAGACAATAATAGAGTATGCACCATTATTCAAGAACTCGGGAGCCCACACCGGCATGTATAGAATACAACATCAATCATGCAATCTTCTGGAGAGGTGAATTCGGCGCAATTCACTGACAGAAACTTTCAGCGGCCGCTCTGGGCTACTCTGCTAAACTAGCTACTCTAGACTAAACGCAGGCCTACCGTATGTCTTTACTGTTTTAGTTTATAATTATATAGAGTACGGTTCCAATTTGTTTTAACTGTACATATTAAAGTTTACTGGCTTTATAAGCAGCCTTTGCAATCACGTACGGCAGTGGATGCAAGCCTGTAGGCAGATTTAAGGGAGGGAAATAAATGCAGTAAAAATGCCAAATTTAAAATATTTGGAGTTAATTATTTTCAACAACGGGCTTGGGATGCACGGTAGTGTTTGTAAGGTACGGCATTAATAGAGATAGCTTTGGAAATGTTAGTGACGGCGGCTGCGTTCTAGATATGAAGAAATGGACGTGTTCCCCATGATACATCCCCAATATTTTCCTACCGGTCAGGGCATGAATATGCTGTTAAAAACTATGAAATAAAATGTCGGCGGAACATCTCTCCACCGCAATTCTCGGTAGGTATATGGCCTGGGTCCTTCCTCAATTAAATTCGTGGCAATAATACGAGTAATAATACTGCACAATCGCAAGTGTTGTCGGAATATGAGCTATTAATGAATAGGACTATTGTATGCCTATATTGAACAAAGTTGTCAATAGCGGACGGTTGAATGGAATTTGGTGAATAGTTCTACTATATACAATTACGATTTTCTCTGTATAGGACCACTGTTAAGATTTACCTAAGGAACATCCCTCGTAAGGCCTACAACGAATCGACACATTTTAAAAGTATTACACAAAATGGTTGCCATAGATGAGTTTCGATCTCTCCGCTTCTGAGTAGATGGTTCAATTCTCACTGTATTCAGTTAAGGGTTAGCAGTGCCAAAAGGAGAATTTGCCTCCTCCAGCTCCACATTATTTGTGTATACACATACAAATACCCAAACAATATATCCCTCCCCCACCCAACCAACTGACCGCCAGTTTGAACCACATGAAATTAGTAAAAATAAAATAAACAATTCAATTATACTCCAATTTACCCACTCCCCCTTCTTATACATTAATTACAGTTCCAGTAAATGGTAGTGCAACGACTGTATTAATGAAATATGTAAGACATTAGCTATTAATATAATTAAGAAAAATTGTTGTTTAAATAAAGTAAATAATACTAATAATTCATTCTCATCTTTATAGTAATTCATTCTCATCTTCATACGATTATTATTTGTTATCATCTTTCCCACCAGTGGTTTTTTTTCACATACCAAAGTTACTATTATGTGCTTCATGGTTATATATACATTGATACGCCTACTTAAACATAGCACACAGAAGTCATTCGTTATGCTTCGTGTATCAGATACAATAACTTATAAAACCAGAGGACGAGTACAATTAAAAAGGGTGCGTCAGACGGCTTTAAATCCCACGTCTGTGATCAATCAAGTGTCTCAGGACCTCATATATTGTGTCGTATACAATAGAACTGAAAGACATTCTGTACAGTGTCGAGAATCCGTCTGTATTTACTGTCACAGAAAATATTCTCTCATGAAGTCAACTAGGCCAATACATTATAAGTATTAAGAAGATATAAGCCTATAGATAAAGCAACATGAGTACCAGTAACGTTCGAACTGAGTCCCGGACTTACAGAATCGAAACCCAGCAAAGATTTACGTCTGGCCAACGCACAACTAACGCGAGCGACTACGGTACTAAGTCGGTTACAAGTAGCCAGTTTAACGGCTCTCCTGCGAAAAATGTACCTAGCATTCGCGTTACCAGCGAAACGAAATCGCACGAATTCAGACCCGTATCACCTTTATATGATCAGTACAGTAAGTGAGTACCTTATTACTTCAAAACTTATAAACCTGGAGTTCTAATCGATTGATGTCAAACAAATGTCTTCATTAAATTAAGTAAATTTTAAAATTTCTAAAACAGTCAGATATTTATAATTAAATGCCCTCATAAAAATTGTGACCAAGGGCCAATCTTTGTTATATACCTTTATACTTCTAGTACTATACGCAAATTATGAATGTTCACAAAATTATATGATATGAAATAATGATAGGTCCCGACAAGGTGCATTGTTAATTATTGTATTGTGGCCTCAATGCGTCAAAACGCTTGGTAGCCATGAAATGTATAAAGGCAATTAAAAATTCGCACACACAAGTAGGCCTTATGTAAGCTAAGAGATTGTTTAAAATATGCCAGTGGGTCTGAAAGGGAGAATATATGAGGATCACAGCAAATTTAGAAAGAAGGATAAAAATATAGCTTTGAATGAAGGGATCAAAGAAATTCTATATTTATTATAAACTAGTAAAAAAAATAAAATAAAAACCCTTATTAGCTATTCCATGAAATTGGGTATTAGATCTTAAAAAAGCGTTTGTGTTGAGATAATACTTGAACAATCAAATTGAATATTTGAATTATTTTGCATTAAAAAGTAAATTGTTAGTTTTTAATTAACCTGTCCGCTAATCCCCACTTTGGATAATATATTGGGAAGTTCCTACAAAACCACAATCTACACGTACAGTACTACAAACACGTATTCTTGATAATTATTATTGTTGTTGCTGATGTTGTAGTAGTAGTAATTGTCGTTCTTGTTGTTGTTGTTGGTATTATCATTCATTCATTCATTTATCTGGCACAAAGGTCCTGTGACTTAGTGAGCCATACCCAGTCCTAAAAAATATTTGTTTCTTGATTTACAGGCCAAGTTAAATTTCCTAATAATTATTCACGTCAATTTCTTTCCTTTAGCGAATAGTACGGAAAATAAAAATAAAATTCGTTAACCTTATTTTCCAGAATCCAGATCACTAAATGACAACGAGATGGATCGGCCAACAGCGATGATAAAGAGCTCCGACATGACGGAAGAGATGCAGGAATCAGCCGTCGAGGTAGCAATTGAGGCGTTTGAACGGTGCAAGATAGAGAAGGACATCGCTGCAGCCATTAAACGAGGCTTCGACGAGAAACATGGACCTGCGTGGCATTGCATCGTCGGCAAGAGCTTCGGAAGTTACGTAACTCATGAGACAGATTATTCTATCTACATGTATATCGGGCAGATGGCTGTTCTGCTGTTCAAACAAGGATAGCTAATTCGTCCAGCAAATAAATTCAATTATAATAAATAACTTCTTTCGTATATTTATTTTTTTGTAAATCTCGGAGCACCTATTTTGAAAGATATGTCCAAGGTAGGCCTACCTTCAGTATAGGTTTATTTCTTGATTTCTTTTGCCAAAAGTTAGCAATATGTTGGCCTTATCTTATTAATAGGAATTCAGCTGTGTTTGAACTTCTCTCTTACTAAAACCTCTATCACCAGTCTCTGAAGGCTTTCGGTGGCAATGTTTCATTAAGAGCAGTGATTCCTGAGAAATCATTATGGTTAGCTTACAAGTACGGGGTAAGCTTACAAGTACGAAAGTAGTTCGGCTTGAAACGTTGAAGCATGAAGCTTACAGTAACCACAGACCCTAGGGTCTATGCAATATAACTAACCATCATAGGAAAAAGTATCACTATCACTCCCGGCATTTACATAACGCCTTTCTTTTCAGAGGATTAAGCTGGTGTCATTTCGGCCGACGTACGCCAAAAACAGGCCTCCATCTGTACGTAGCTAATTAATTTGGCCATCACAAACCGAAAAACTAGTAAATTCAAAACTTGTGATTCATAGGGGCTTGTAGCCCGGGACCTAAATTTCCTACCCACGGCCGAATTTAGGGGCGGATTTAGGGCCCGGCCCCCCCTTTTTGGAACAAAAAAAAAAGAAAAAAAGAAAGAAAAAGAAAAAAATGATAGCCCACAACGCCTCAAATGTTATTTTCGGGCGTCTAGAACACAAAAAGTTCGCGGACCCCCTAGGTCATTGTTGTCTCGATCGGCCCAAATTTCGGCCCCCCTCCCCCTTTTGGACATCTCTGGATCTGCCCCTGGTTCAATTTACAGGGATTTCTACTAAGGGGAAATACTTATTGACGATGTGATCAAGAACCGAATACACTGAAAACGAAGTCCTTGACTTTGACACACTATCACACTTTTGTCTGATTACTGGTCTCATGAAGAACAAAAATCTTAAGAGTTTGCCTTGTTTTAGGCCTATTGTAGATATAATTTATTTCAAATAAATGGAATTTTGTATTGACTATTAACATATCGAACAACTCGGTCTTCCGATGCATGGAGACATCAACTTCGATATTTTGAAGAAACTGTAACATACTGTACTGAAGTTAATAAAATGTTTCCAATAGACTGTATCATTTTAAATATTTTTGTCATTCTTATGCCGTTTGGTCGAAGATAATTAAAAAGTAAGAATTACTTTGGACGAGGCGCTTTATGATTGTTTATCTTTATCCCTGACCTTACAATTACGTTTGTGACAAATGGTTGTTTTGCCCATGGGTGTAATGGACATCTTGGCGCAAATTTGTTTGAATATGACATGATACCCACATATGGGTGTACAGTAATATGTAATGATGCACATATATGTGTAATATCATGACCATAACGATGTGGGGTTGCCTGCTCTTTCGCTGCTTACCAGCAGCAACACTTAAGCATATGGACCCAAATGACCAAGGAAACGAAATGCACTTCATAACCTAAAGGTTATACCTTGTAACCAGGAGTATAAAATTGTACCCACAGGCACTAATATTCAAATGATTGCACAGTCAGCAACAACATCAACAAATATTTGTGATTTGCCAATACTGTACATTATGGTCATTAAATGTAATTAAAACAACAAGTTTTATATTTTGTTGAAGCGGTTTGGTGCAGCAGGAACGGTATGGTTTCCCAACCCCGAGGTTGGGGTTTCAGTCCCTCGCTGTACTGTAAATTGCTGTCCTTGAGCATGACGCTTTGTCTGCATTGCTTCTCCTGTAATCACCTGTCTTGTCGGGCTCGTAGGTAGGCCATATAGGCCTGTATGGTACATGTTATGCCCTCCCAATTTCATCAAACCTTCACTGAATGGGTTCTCTCCACGCAGGAGTATAAATGGTTGCCTACTCCTGCGACTCTTAGCAGCAGCAACGCTTAAAACATGAAGACACAATAACAAGGGGAAAAGAAGTGCTTTGTATCTAGGAAGAAAATGCACTGTATAAATGATATAAATAATAATAATAATAATAAAATGTTCCCAATGTTATTTCATGATATTCCTTTTTTTATTTAAAATATTGAGCTTTCTATTGGATGAATGTAGCATGAATAGTAACGACTTAGAATTAATGGTGAATGTTATGGTATGTATTAGAAGCCTATATGAATGTACAGGAAAAAATATAAAGAAAACGAAATCCCCTAGTTAAGGGTCAAAATTGACAAGATTGGTTTATAAGACGTAACACATTCAGTAGGCCTATACCGACGTTTACTCTAAGGATTCAGGCGAAAATATTCTGGTTTATTGCTCAAAAGGTGTTAAAATCTGAAGTTAATTTTTCTTACTTTGAGACTGCTGTAGTTGTGATACAATGGTACCACCTTAATAGAGGCTGGCTGTAGTGTTAAGATATATTTCCCCTCATTTCACGGAAAGGTTTCCCCTTAATAGGGGTGTCCCCTGAATAGGGGTGTCCCAAATGAGGGGTTCTACTGTATCTGTTTTTAACGTCTATGTGGTTTGCAGGAAATTATCAGGACATTTGTTTGGGCTGTCGGCCAAAATTATTGAGAACCTTTGGTCTAAATGAAGATAAAGATGTTCACAGAAAATCAGTAATAAGCGGACCATTGAAAACGTTCATTTCTTTTTAATAAATCGCTTGACTGGCCAATGGCATTTACAAAGCTTACTGACACAACTTATTCAGATAATATGTTTTCTGCAGTTGCAAAATGCATTGTGTTATTTTCATACAAATTTGAGCTTGCAAACATTATCTCAATAAATAATCTAACAGATTACACCCAGTTCATCATGTGTAGTATCTGTAAAGTAAGCTATACTTTATCAGATTATTTGCCTGTCAGAATTCAACAATGTTTGATCAGACTTATTTTTAATTGTTTGCTTGTTTCATACATATCTGAAGAATGATATATTCATGTCTGATATTAAAAAATGCTGCACATAGGCAATATCTGAGTCTAACAGACACAAATCTGATCATGTATGTCTGGCAAATATTTTCAGCATGCAAGTTAAAAATATGATATCTCTATCATACTTTCAATTTATCATAAAAAATTTAAAAAAATGAAAATTATTCAAATTACATAAGAAATTTACATTTTACATTTTTCATAATTTGACTTCAAATAATCAATTTTAACTTATATTTGAATGAAATTAAAATACTATATAAAGAAGACAATAGAAAGTTATTACATAAGATAAAAAAAAAAAGTATATACAAAAAGAGCTTTCTATTTGATTTTTCTTCTTATTCATTTTTTTAAAGAATGTTTCTTTCTAGGTTCCTTCTGTTCTGATTCGGTTTAACTCCACCTTTTCTCAAAAACCTTCCTGTTCAAATGTCCATGTCTTCTTCTTCAACTTCCATTTCAGTAGTAGTACCTGAGGATTAGTAATAAGAAACCATGATCAAGTTGAATAGGCAATTCAGAATGTTTACAATTTACAAAAATTGCAAGAAAATAATACTGGGTTACAATTTAATATGTACAACTTCATTTAATAAACTACTACACAAAAGTGAAAAACATAACATAACATAACATCCTAAAAGAAGAATTACACAAGTTCAATTAGTCAATTCACTCTCAAAGGAGGCGAGTTAAGCTTGGTTTCCATACAATCGCTCACCCTCAGTCGTACAACAGTCGCCGATAGTTGTCGGGAAGGTTGAAAGATGTGTATAAGAGACATTATATATATATACACACACATATAAAACAGAATTCATGTTATTTATCTATTTCAGAGTACTCTCAATCATTCAATTTGTTATACGGTTTGCCCTCCAATTTCATACTCCCTTTGGGACCTGAAAATTTGGGGCTGTCTCTGGGTTCAGCCTCTAATTAGAGGGTTACAGTAGCTCTGTGGTGGAGATTGCTAGTTGATAACCTGAAACATTAGTTTCGAGTTAAAGTGGTCTCAGAATTAAAAGGGGCTCGAATTGGACGGCCAACTGTATTTAGAAAACATTTTCTAAATTTTTGTGTTAAAGGTTGTATACAAATACCAACATTTTTACATGAATAAACAGTGTAGACTTTGGTATCTATAACTCCCCCACCTTAGACCCCACACCCTTTCCCTGAATTAAATACTGTAGCAATATTGTAGTGTAAAGTAGAGCCTAGCCTATTACTTTTCACTGTTCTTGTTTGTGCAAGTTGCTTGTGTCCTTGGGCAAGGCACTTCCCCCACATTGTCTCTCTCCATCAAAGTGGGTAAAAGTTCTAGTGAAAAAATGCATTAATTTATTTTATGCAGCAAACTATGGAAATACTCCATCCATAGGCATCATTCCAATGACTGGGTGTACAGTATTAATGTGGAACAGTGCTCTGAGACTTGTGAACAGCAGTAAATAAATAGCTACATATTATTATTTGTACTATCATTAACATCTACAGCAGATCTGACCACCATCCCACCCAGTCTACTCACTGGACTACTATTTGTACTACTGTACTATACAGTACTATGAAAATGTTGATAATTGTAAATAGACCTTTAATATGAAAACAAATTACAGTAATGTATTAAGGTATTAAGACTGAGATGAAAAGGTGCAAATGTTGTTCTTAAATAAACTCATCAATCATTCAACATATAACTCTACGATATACTTACCTCATATCCTTCATAAGAGAAACCGCGAAACTTACCACTCCAATTGTATCCTCGTCAAAACTGCTGACTAATTTTCTCGGGCACGTTTCAACTTACAATCATAATTCAAAGACACATTAACAGAAGCCCTAATACTAATCCCTAGTGGTAACTAAACATAGGCAGTGTAATAATGATTAGTGATGGGGCCCAGGGGGCGAGAAAATTTCAAGGGCCCTTATGTGTCTGGAAAGCAATTTTCATAGACTTTGAGGGGTGGGCAATCTACCTATGTAATTTCATGTCAAAAACGACTGATCAAGGCTCTTTATTACCCCGAGACTGTACAGGCTTTTATAGATAAATAGATAACTTTATTGTCCTATGAATAAAGAAATTCATCTTCCATTGGCAAATGCTTAACAAGCCATGGATGAGACTAGAATAATAACATTTCCCCTATTTGAAGTTAAGATCACAGAACATATGCTTCACATATGACGCAACTTAAACTGGAAAACAACAAGATAATTTATTAAAAAGATGAAAGTTAAAGAAGGTTATATGGTAATATAAGAACATGAGTTTATGAAGTTAATCATATAAACATAAAAATTAAATTTTCTTTAATTTTTCATATCCATTTTGAAGTCTTTTTATAAGCATGTCATTGTCACTGTTAGCAAATCCTATTGGCATCTTATTATTCCATTTACAACTGTTGCTACATCACTCATTCCTATTTGCATCACTATATATTACGATAGAGATGGTAGCTACCTTAATTGCATTGATGTCGGCTGGAGAGGGTCCGGAGCTCTTTTCAGTTGGTAAAGCGGCACCAGGTACAAACCTAAAAGAAGAATTACACAAGTTCAATTAGTCAATTCACTCTCAAAGGAGGCGAGTTAAGCTTGGTTTCCATACAATCGCTCACCCTCAGTCGTACAACAGTCGCCGATAGTTGTCGGGAAGGTTGAACTTGGTTTAACTTTGCTGACTGCATTGCAGACGAATCAGGGTTCATTGCCAGCTGCCACGATGCAATCGGGAAGGCACCTTGATTTGTCTGCAACACAATTGGCAAAGTTGAACCAGATTCAACTTTCCCTACAATTGCCGGCGACAGTTGCTGATAGGGTGAGCGATTGTATGGAAACCAAGCTTGAGTACATTGGACGTAGAACAATACAATCAATACAACAGGTACTGTGACTATGGGAGGTACAGCAACTACTAGGTAGGGTTAAGTGGAATACTAGGAATCAAAGCTACTAAAATTAGAATGGGAATAGAATCCTAAAATGCATTATGCATAGAGCAGCTTAGCTCAGTCGGCTAAACTGGTGGTAATCTTTGTGTGTGCGCTGAACTATGGAAACCTGTTAGTTCCTAGTTGAATTCCCATCGCGGCTCTCCCTGTATTTTAGCTGGAGGGCTGAAATGCAAGTTACGATAAGGCACTGTCTTTCGAATGAGACGTTTTAAGCCGTTGGTCCCGTGTGCATTATGGAACATGTTCACGTTAAAAAACACAGTGTATTCTTCGGAAATGAGTAAGGGATTGTGTACTGCCCAATCACCACCAGGACCCCACTGGACATAATCTATTGTACAACTTAGTACAAAAAAATAAAAACACTAACGTTTTTGATCGTTTTCCAAGATCTTTAGCAAGAGTTTGTCCTTTCTTGCCTTTGAACATCAATGATGCAGCTTCCCTCTCCTAACAAAAAATAATTTATACATATTATAAAATAATTAAATTTCGGTAACATTGCTCAATTAGAAAATTAACAATCAAAATTTGGTTCAGGTTGTTGATCAAGAAAAATATTTAAAAAATTTTTTTCGTTGCCAAGATGATTTTGGCAGAATTAGAAAGAGACAGGCAGAAGAGAAAAAAAAAATAAAGGTTTTTTTTTAGCATCTTCATTTTTTTATAAATACATTCTGATAAACTTTGTATAAAAGTCTTGCTAAGGAATTTAAAATATATAATTGAGTTAGATGAGCCTTACCTTTTGTTTAACTTTCCTAAAATCTAGAAGTTTTACTTGTGGAAGTTTATGGATCACATAGAGTCTGTAGTGTCTTTTACTTGTTATTGGATTCCTCAGTAAACTAAAAAAAAAAAGAAGGAAAAAAAAACCAAAGTCAATAACATAATCAATATTGAGAGCAGCTTAGCTCAGGCTGCTAAACTAGCCACAAGATGAGCTGCTGGTCCTGTGCATGTTAAAGAACGCAGTACACTCTTCGCAAAAAAACTAAGGGATAATCTCCCGGTGTACTGCCCAATCACCACCAGAAAGACTTCTTCAGACTACTGTGGGTTATCCTCTGTGTTTACAGTACACCGAATAAATCCATCCATCCAATATTAATAATCATCGTCTATATAAAAACATATTTTCAGGTTCACAATTACCTACAAGAAAAGCACTACATCAGTATTAATATGGCATTATAATACAATATCATCAGCTATCTATAACAACTTATTCCTACTTGCAAATATTGGGTCTTGGGTTCAAGTCTCCTAAAAAAATTAGAATATTTTTTTAGGTTGAATCAATTTTCTTATATGGTCATGATGTGATGCTATCATGACCATATTTAAGCATATTGCAGGTTTGATAGTTTGAACAGGGCTTGTATTCAACCATCCTATCATGTACAATTATTACCGTATATAAGAGAATAATTACATTCACTGACCTGAGACATGTGAGAGTTTTTACCGAAACAAGTGTGTCTAAATCCCCCTGTAATTAAATAAGAAAACACTTAGGAAACATATGTGGCTACATTACCATCAGCACGATGTATCATAAAGGTAGGAGAATAACCTTTAACTCGCAGCATCATTGTGGTGATGAATTGTGTATGGCCGTGGTCTGTGGCTACCTAGCCACCATAAAGAGCTGCTTATAATAGATGCAATGGGTTCTTTAAAATGCACATGAGCCAAATGTGTAGACTCCATTTTTTATGTTTAAAACTTAGCTAAATTATATATATCACTTTTTGCGTCAAAACCAGTGACAGACTCTGCAATTCAAAATACAGGGGGCCCAGGGAAGGACTTTCACATGTAAGGAGTTAATAAAGAGAGAGGCCTGAGGTAAGAAAATTTATGATTATGACACTTCTAAATGGCTGGAAATGGCTTAAATATGAATATAGTAATAATCTTTAATTTTTATTTATAATTTTGAAAAATTTGTAGCTGTGTTCCCCCTCCCCTCATGAATCTGCCACAGCTGAACACCAATCTCTCTCTTATCTTAATGAACAGCACTCAGGTTGTTATATAGTTTGTGTTTAAAGTTCTTGGACAGCTGACATTTAATGGATCAATATAGGTACAAAAGTATCGAGTTAAACAACAGTGCACTCACCAACTCCTGCATGTTGTTGTTTGTGAGTATTAAGGTTTCCAATCTCGGCAGAGATTCTTCAAGGTTTTCACCAATACGACTGCCGAAGAAGAACATTTTATCTTTATAAATAATTATTATTAAAACAGCAATAAAGCAAGCAAATTATGTGGTCGACTTACTGAAAGTGAAGAATGAAATCATGAAAAAAAAAAAAGAAAGTTGAATACAGTACAGTATATGCTTCTTTCTAAGGATCTGATTGGAACAACCAAAATCTAAAAATGACTGTTACAACTTTTTTTTAGTTCAGTCTTAAATTATTGTTATATTTCTCTATGATTATCACTTGTTTTATATGTTCTGTTTTTCAACTGAATTATAAAATGTTAAATACTAAAATACACTGTTAGATTTGTAACAAGTTTCTATTGCATTATGATCAATTTATGTTTGTAAATTCTACTACCGCTTGTATATTTATATGGTATCGATAAACATCAAAAGGCTTATCCCCAGTGATTATGATGGAAAGCCAGAAAAAGTTTATAGAGCCCAATTTACTATGATACTTTAAAATATTGTTGTCATAACAAATGAAGCCTGGTTTCTGAAGAATGGTTACACAGTCGGTAAGCGTTTTCACTGCAATCGTTTCATTTGCACTGCGTAGCGGTCCCCGACGTAATTGGAAGTGCTCCCTGACCCAACTGACCAATCAGCATCACCAAAGAAGTCAGCGATAGCGTGTAGTGCTGTTATGGAAACCAGGCTTGATTGCTACATCTTACCATACTCTGTTGTTGTTGAGCAAAATGTGTCTGAGTCTTTTGAGAAGCGGGAAGCCATCAACTTTCCGAACGTCATTATCAGAAAAATCTATTGTATCAAACTGATCCTGTGATATAGATAAACAATATAAAGTTTATTATAGTTCATTATTATTTGCGAGAGCATTTAGAACAGAGGTACTGTAAAGCATCAAGCTTGTAATTGAAGGTTATGGGTTCGAGCTTGAGGGTGATCACTTTTTTGTGACCTTTGGCAAAAAATATAATCTTTGAGTCAATCAAACCAGGAGTACTGTATTATATTATAGTGGATACATGGTAGATTTCAATCACATCATGCTAATTACTAGATCCAATCAATTCTGTACAGTATGCTACTGTAAATATGTGGGGGGCTGGTGAAGGCTCAGTAATGGAAGGCCTTTTCCCCACAGGACAAACATATACCCATTTTTTTTTCTTCTAATAGCCACTTACAACCATGGAGGAATTACCACAGTACAGGTAATTGCTCCATGTTACAAATAACAAGATTAGTATTAAAATCTGAATTACCAAAGTTGCTCCGAGGTTTTCGATAACAGGGATCTTGTAGCCTGCAATGCAAAGATAAAGCAAACAATTAAATTGGTTATTTCGACTATACAAATTTCTCACCAATATACAATACTCTGTATCAATAGTACATGATATTCAGTTATTACTGAAAACTACAGTACATTAGACATGATATATTGTCTTTTTTTACCTAGTTGTAGTACAGTAAACTTGGAGCTCTGATTAGTGTGGACATTAGCAAAACATCAATATGGCTCCCTAGAAACAATGGGCCTCCAGTACACCTCTAAAAGTGTTATTTTAGGCTTGGGGGAGGGGTACCTGTAGGACAGGCAGGTTACAGTAAGTTTAAAGCATTACAATAAAGGTTATTCATAATAATATTATGCCTTACCTACAGTAGTCTTCCCTTGGTGAACTGACATAAAATAAAACGCCGTGGCTAGAGATACGGTACCGTATCGGAACTTCCGATTGCTAAAGGTACGGTAAATGATATTACGTCATGATTAGCCAATAGAGACGCCGATACATGCGTGACGTCATTTAGTGCACTGCTGCTGCAAGAGTAGCGAGTGTGTGTTTTAGCAACGATCGAAGATTCGTTCGTTTGCGGGTGTTGTTGATAAGCTGTGATTAATATTCTGTAGCCCGAGGCCCTATAGCAAATAAAAAGGATAGCAGTTTTGCTAGATTTGGCGACATCAAGCGAGAATAAACTATTTTAATAGTAGAAGTCAGGCCTAGGCCTTAGCTACCCCTGAATCCTCCTAAGCCTAGCCTAGTAGTAGTACGACTACTATACTGTAAGTATGCCCCTAGGCGGGTATTCGGGCTAAGCCTAGCCTTAGTAGACCATTCTCTATGGTAGACCATAAAATACGCAAGAATAACAGAAAGGATTTTTAACCCAAACATTGTGATAAGCCCCAATCGAAATACATGAAATGGGCCTAAAGTTTTATGACATAAATTTGATCGTAACTGTTCGCGCCACGTTTCTCATGATCGCGATGTCGACTTTGCAAAAATGCCAAAATCGAGTCGGTCATTTGTATTGGCTAATCATGATTTATATCATTTACCGTACCTTAAGCATTCGGAAGTTCCGATACAGTACCGTATCTCTAGCCACGGCGAAAATAAAACAAGATAATGTTTGCTTTTCCCTTCAGTCAATTTAATAAGCATATTATTAATTTTATTATTATATTATTATAATCAATATTAGGCTATTTATTAGGTTAGTCACCAAATTCACTGAAAATTATAATTATACAAGATTCGAGTTTAACTTAAACGTAAAATTCTTACTGGTAACTAATACACTGTACGATAATTTGTGAAGCAAGGATAGTATTTTACTGGATATTTTAATAATAAGACAAACAAAACACACTTAATTTCCTGATTTTCTGAAATTTACTGGTTCTATATGGTGCTGAGTGTTGGCGAGTGGTAAAATCAATGCCTCTCACAACAGATGCCTCAGGAGAATATGTTAAATCTTCGGACCCAACAAGATTCCAGTTTTATAGACACCCTAAATGGGTGTCTACAAAACGAAGACCCAAAAACAAAGACCCACATTTTTTTCTCTCAATCTTGATGAAAATAATCTCGTAATTATGATTTTGTGACAGCCTGGTGTAGTATTATTTTAAAAAGAGTAAAAGAAAATGTGGGTCTTTGTTTTTCGGGTCTTCGTTTTGTAGACAACCATATAGGATGTCTATAAAACAAAGACCCTTTTTTCGGTATTTCTTGATATTCCTCATTCTATTCCGATGAAATAATGAAATGGGTACGTGGCAACTGTTATGATGATTTTGAAATACTTTATTAAGATAATTGAGAAATAATTGGAGGTCTTCGTTTTTCGGGTCTTCATTTTGTCAGGAAGTTGTTATAGTTTCGTAGATACGCATATAGGGGGCTAGGCTAGGGTGTCTATAAAACGAAGACCTTTGATTTGAAAATTTCACACCCTTCGGCCTTGAAAATTTCACAGACGCTCCAAAACAAACAAAAAAATCTGTAATTTTGATTTTGTGACAGCCTGGTGAATTATCATCAAAATAAAAGAGAAAAAATCGGGGTCTTCTTTTTGGGTCTTTGGTCTTCGTTCTATAGACACCCCCCTCTCTAGGCTAGGCTATGCCATGTACTGCATACAGCCTACAGGTAGGTAGGAAGGCTTGCCTAGCTAGGCCTTCTGACGGCGGGACTACGAATGATGAGGCTGTCTGTGAGATAGAGGCTTAGCGACTTACCACGCAAATCAAGTTCACGGTCCCTGACTGGGTTGATGTATTGAGCGCACTGCTCAATGAGTTCTGGAGTGAGTTTCACCATATCTTATAATTGTCTTGAAACAATAAGAAACCCCACAAGTAACTTATATTCACAACTTGTTACTGTATTTGTATTTAGCACAGACGCAGTAAATTCGTTATAACCGACGGCCGACGCGACCGATGACGACGACGCATGCTTGATTTGAATTGCGCCCTCTGCGAATCGAACAAAGAACTTATAAGATCTTTTCACAATCTTGCTTTTGCTTTTAGGCCTATTAGTATTAGGTGCCTACTGAGTGTTATTATCGGCAGGCCTATTTATTATAGTCAGAATGACAGAAGTAGGCTCCTATAGAATATGCTTTTGGGTGAGGTACTTTTCTTAGTTGTGATCCTACGGCACAATGTGAGTCATTGGGGCTCTAATAAAGTTACAGTATCTACGACGGATAAAGATCTTATAAAGCGCACAAACACCACAACAATTTTAGGTGCTCAAGGCGCAATTTCCTTAAAAAAAACTCAATATCATCTTCTTTTACCCCTCATGCTTTCATTTTATTAAAATATTTCCTTACAGTTTTAGTTTCATTTTCAACCCTTACAATTCATTTCTTTTAATCTTTACTTTTCCTTTTCATTCTGTTTCAGCTGCGCTAAGCTGCATTTCCCCGGACTGATCCAAACTGAAAATTCGGACTACGTTTTCAATGCGCTGATCATGAACGAACCGTTTCCATTTGAATACTGATTCGATTTTCTGATCGGTTCAATCCGGAAATCGGATTCGATGTGAATGAAACTTTATGCAGACCTACTTTTCTCGACTATTTTTTAGTTTCATATGCTTAAAATTCTTTTGAATCAACAAAAAATCAATAAACATTGACATGAATTGTTCCGATAAGATAGTTATACATGGGTAGGCTAGGAGGGTGCCCCCACCCACATGGCAGCAAAAAAAAAAATGACCATTAGGTCTTCATTGGAATAAGGATTTACCGTAGTTCCGCATTTTCACATTCACACCCCCCCCCACCCACCC